GCCAAACTTACCACTCGAACACTTATTATTATCTAGCACGTGTTCGTGGCTGTTAACAAGAAGGCATCGATAACGATGTACGAAATTTTCCCCTCCTTTTTTATGTTTCTTTCTTTTATTATTATTATTATTATTATTATTATTATTGTTATTATTCAATTTCTTGAGACTCTGGATTCTCTCTATTTCTTTATATATACATATATATTTTTATCTATTTCTCCCATATTTTCCCAGTTCCATCTTTTTACGTACTGTATATGAGTTTATTATTATTTTTGCATGCTTGAATATTTGTGTTGTGATCTTTATAGGTCACCCTCCTGGCCGGTATGGGCTCCACGTATTCCTAATACCTCCCAAAATTCTTCGACCCAACAACAGCCCGCAAAACCTGAGACTTCTCTCAATATCGATTCCCCGACTTCGTCTTCCATCCTGCGAAATCCACGAAATCGGTTCTGGTCTACGTCCAGCCCTGTTTCATCGTGCGAAGAAAAATCAGTGAGAAGTTCTTTGAGGTCTAGTATAGCGGTTGTTCCACTATCTAACGATCAGAATGAAACAAATGAAAACGGAATCGTTTCAAACGACACGTGTCGCGTTAACGAGGACGTCGAAAACGAGATCGGCGTGTTCAAGATACCTGCACGGCAAGACGTAACGCGAACGCGACAATTGCGAAAGAATTATGATAGACATAGTTTTGATTCGTCGAATGAGCGTAACGTAGCGAATTCGTCGATGAAAAATCGGAATGGACAACAGAACAGCATAGTCGCGCCGATCGCGAAACCGAGAATCGGTCACCCAAGTTGGAGAAATATTTCGAAAACCTGTGATTGCATCGAGAAAGGAAATATGAGCCCGGTTTTGCGATTGGCCGACCAGGCCAGAGCCGTGTCCTCTCCCGATCCTCTTCATAGGCCCGATAACCCCAGAGCCTCGCTACGTTCCGCGACGACCGCTCAGACCCTCAGGTAGGTTTCATTCATTCAGCGACTTTCTCTTTTTTATGATTGATTTTTTTTTATTTATTTATTAATTGATTGATTAATTAATTAATTAATTAATTTCCCTTGGTTCTTCCTTTCGATTTTTGTGCGTTCTATCTGTTGCCTCCTTTTCATTCTATGTTAACTGCCATTGCATAGTCGGTAAAAGCAGTCTGTTTCCTGAGCCCTCTTGCGTATTAATTTAGTAACTAATAATGTTAGTGAATCGAGAAGTTGTAGGTTATGTTTTCTCTTACAATTTTTGAAATTTATATAAATAAAATAGAATAATTAAATGTGTTTCTCAACTTTTTTATAGTTATTGGTATATAAATTTATATATTATTTAATATTATAGATTATATATTAATATATGTATTTGTAATAAATATATATATTAAAGTAATAGTATTGCTAATTCTAATCGAATTCTAAATTTACAGTCGCAAAAAAATTTAATTCCTGATACAATTTTAATTTCTTTACATTTTTAGCAAATATACAAGAAACAACAGATCAAAATTTTATCAGTATTTGAATCTTTATGTAATCGACTTCATAAAAATTTTAAAAACTAATAGTTTAAACTTAGTTATTGTATATTAAATAAATAATAAATAAAATTATGTATAATTGAATATATACTCGAATTTGTTTCGCAACTTAAAAATTTAACATAATTCGACATTACATTTCAATTCAAAAGTTGAGAAATACTGAAATAGATAACTCGCAAAATAAAAGAAAATCGTTTTATATTGTTAACTTATAACTTTCGCTAATAATATTAGTTTTGATATTTATACAAAAAGGCTCTAGAGTGTTCGTTTAAATATTATCCATTTAAAAAAATTACAGAAAATGTGTATCGAGTTGTAATATAAGCAGTTTTTTTCTTTATGTCATTTTCCATTTTAATTTATTATTATTTTTTTTTAAATTAATTTAAATTAAAAATATACGATTTATTTTGATAATTATTGCGTATTATTTTTTATTTATAAAAATTCTATTCAATATAACAATAAATCATATATTTCTAATGCAGTCTATTTTTTCCATGCATGTATTTTTTTTTCCTTTTTATTATATTGTTTCTTTCTCTCTCTCTCTCTCTATCTCTTTTATGTTTTACATTAACAACATTTAATATCATATATAAAAATACAGACATGCAAATATGTTATAATGTTTAATAAGCTTATATACAAAGATACATATTTGCTGCGAGATTTGCTTCCGCTTTGCTTTATTAACTGCGCAAATTTTTTATCATATTATCGATCATATATCGAATTATCGATAACACGTCATATTAATTATTTATAAATTTTATTCCAATATCATATGCTGCGCCTATTCATTAACTTGAATCACGTTATTATTCTATTCCAAAAATATTAACGTCAAATAATCGTATAAAAATTATATTATATTATATTAAAATTATATTATTGCAACAGAGGGCAACTGTATTTAAAATGTATCAATACAAAAAAGAAAATATTAATGAATCACATTTATGAAAGAAAACAGTGCCAAAGGATGTATATACAAATGTAGCTAATAGAGTTACATTTTATAGTTGGCATAAATTGACCAAATTACATTTACGATGATTATGATTTAAAAAAGATTCAATCAATTTTATTTCTCAATGAATTTGAACGATCAATCAATTTTGGTAGATCACGTATTAAAGATGTATATCGCTGAACACTTTCACAGTCCGCGTTACATAATTTCGAAGTAAAATTGCTTCTATAATAATCTCTCTAACAAAAACAATATAACCTTCCTCTGGCTTTCAACATTTAGGTTGTCCAATAAGTTTTTTTTTTCTTAAAATAAATACAAATTATTTGATTATATTTATGTATATGAACATTATTTTTTCAATCAAACAATTATTTTTTGCTGACAATGATTATAATAAACTAATGTCACTTAAGAAATAAAAAACTCGCATTTCATGCTTTTGAATCTTTTTCATTAATTTTAGATATAGAATAGCTTATGAAAAATTCATTTTATTATTTAACTTTTCAAGTCAATATTTAGATATACTTTTATTTAACATATAACATGTAAAATTTGTTATTTTTTTCTCAAAATTTTCAAATTCAGCTAGATTATTTGATATAATCATTTATTAAATTTAATTTATTCAATACTAGAAAATTATTAAAATTAGAAGTTAAGTCGACAATACAAACACGATCAATTAAAGAATCTTTAGAATAATTCCAAAATAAAACCAATATTCAGTTTTTTTGATTCTTTAATTCTTGCTCTGATAAAGCACAAACTTATTGGAAAGCCTAAATCATCATTCGATTAACAGTATTAAAAAGAAAGGACCCGAACTGTCAAAGTAAAAGCGATTTACATCGAAAACAGGCGGCGAAAGTAAAAATAAAGGGGACTAGGTGCGGAAGAGAGATGGTGTAGCTTTCTTTCCACTTTGGATGGCTTTGTGAATCCTTGCAGGGGTATGGTTGGAGGTCACCGGAAGTTGCTGGACGGGGCGGGGGGCAAGCTGGCCACGGTCGCCACCAGCCCAGCGGACTCCGAGGAGTCCTC